ACAGCCGGGCCCTGCGCTGCCTCCACAGACAGGCCAAGCAGCCAGGAAGGGGCTCAGTCGGGGACAGGCCAGGGACCCTTCCTGGCCACCAGCCCCTCCATGCCCAGGACTCCGGGAGCTGTTCATGCTCCGCAGATGCAGAAGGGACTGACTGCTGGGATCGCAGCCCCCACCCAAGACCCTGGGGACCCAGGGATCTCAGCCGGGAGGGGAGAAGTCCTCTTCTCACGAGGAAGTGGCCTCAGACACGGGAAGCGCCCTCTCGCCCCTGCACACCCAAGGGCCTTCCTGGGCATCGAAAACCAGTGGAAAGCGACCTCCACATCTCTGGCCCCACCAAAGGAGGCAGTGAGGGGCAGGGGCCAGGGAGCCCGGGCAGGAGGGCAGCAAAGGGGGTGTTTGCTTCTGTGCAAGAGATGAGGCGAAGCTCCTCCCCACCTGGCCAGCAGCGGCCTGCCTGTTGGGGTCCCCACACCTGAAGGCGGGACCTGTACTGCTTCGTGCCTGCAATTGCCATCCATTTCCTGGGAGGACTCATTTGTGTGTTGCACTCCTTGATATTAAAGGACCCCCAGGCATTGTAATCCGGGCAGGACGCCTTTGCCTGGTGACTTGCTCAGCAAGGGCTGCCCTTGTGTCCTGCATGAGACTGTCTGAGAACAGCAAACGCGGCAGAAGCGACTTCCCCTCGGCCATGTTCTGGGAGTTCAGCCCTCCTGGCTGGTGCCCCCCCGCAGCACCAAAGGCAGCCAAATGCTCAGACTCAGAGGGGGACGTGCAGCCCCTCCGCCATCCCCTCAGCCCCTCTTCCTGCTTGGCTGAGGGACGGACCCAGAGAGAGGCGCTTAGAGTCACGTCACAAGCCCATTTGGAGGGGTAGCTCAGGTGACAAGAGAGCGGCCAGGCCTGGGCACCAATCCTGCTGGAAAGGGCAGCCGTGGGTGCTGAAAATCTGTCAAAGGGGACAACTGCCTCTTTTTCCCCTCTCTCTTTCAGAGGAAAAACGGTGCATCCAGATAACTGGAATGTTTTCCATCAGGAAAAAAACCCAGAATTCTTGCCCAGCTTCCTCCACCCCTCAGTGGACTGTCCTAGGCCTCCATTTCCCACCCTGGGGAGGCCAGCCCTGTTTGGGAGAAAATATGGAGAAAGCAGGAAACACTCACTTTTGGCTGACCAATAGTCATCCCCAAGCTTCCCTGCAAAAGCACAGACAGAGGCACAGACCCGATCAGATCCCACGGTCCCACGAAGCCACCCCGCCACCCCCCTCAGGACTCTGCTCTCCCTTCTCTCACTCCCCCTCCAGGAAGGAAGGCCCAACGCTTCCCACAGAACTGCATTCATGGAGCTCCCACAGGGGGGCCAAACAGTTTCCCAGGGCAGCCCCAGAGAGGCAGATTTTCCCCCTCGCGTGACATGGGGACAGGCCCTGCGCTGCCTCCACGGCCAGGCCAAGCAGCCCGGAAGGGGCTCAGTCGGGCACAGGCCAAGGGATCCTCCAGGTCCAGGACTGTGGGGGCCCTTGGAGCCTCCCAGCCAGGAGGGGAGCAGCTCTCCTCTCACAAGCAGGTGGACCAAGATACGGGAAACACCCCTTGGACCCTGCACACGCAAGGACCTTCCTGGGCTCTGAAAACCATTGGAAAGCGACCTCCACATCTCTGGCCCCACCAAAGAAGCACTGGGAACTGCCAGAGAGAGAAAAGGCCAGAAAGAAAAGCTGCAGATGGGGAGGGATGGAGGGAGGGAGGGAGGGGCAGGGGGGCTCCAAGTTGGGGAAGGAGGGCAGGGAATGGTCCTCTTGATTCTGTGTGAAAGAGGAGAAGCTTCCCCCCACAGAGCACTAGCAGGGGGCCCTTGGTGTTGTTACGGGAAAGGGCCTGAAGCCTTGTCAAGGGAGGAGCACGTCTTGGATGGGCATCTTGGATCCAGGCAGCCCATCCCGAGGACCCCCAAGGAACCCTCTCCCCGATCTCGAAGGGCAACGTGGAGACATCCTGGCCGGCCAGCCCCTCGCCCTTCCTTGCACTGCCCTGCCGTATCTCCCTTGGGACCGCCCCCCTCTGGCTCGGGGTCCAGGAGCAGGCCCCCTTCTGCTCAAGCGGGGATCCCTTTCTCTGCCCTCCTTCCTGGCTGGGGTCCTTGCTAGCTCTGCTTGATGGTGCAGCGGCCCGGCCTGCAGGCCAAGTCGCCTGGACGGGGCAGCCCTGGCCACTGGAATGCGCCAATGCCGAGGCGACCCTGGGCTCCCCCTCAGGGGGCCGGATCTCCAGCACCCAAAGCCCGGAATTCCTGCCCGACTCCCTACCAACCCTCACCAACTCCCCCCCGTCCCCATTTCCTGGCCTAGGGAGGCCTGCCCTGTGTTGGCGTGAACATGTGGAGAGGGGCAATAGTCACTTTTTGGGGCTCTGTGGGGAAGTCCAAGCAAAAGCACAAGTGAGGCCCAACTCGAGTCAGAGATCCACCAGTCTCATCACCTGCAGCCACGAAGCCTCCAAGCTTCCTTCCCCCAGATGTTTCCCCCCTCCACACACCTCCCTCCGGAGAAGGGAAGCCAACGCTCCCTGCAGAACTGAGGGGGTGCAGGGACCTCAAACGGGGGCAGGCACTGTCTCCCAGCCCCAGAGCTCCCCACACAGCTGCAGGGGGGTAGCTCCCCTGGAGAGCCAGGCACACGCTCCCAGAGGTGGCTCTGCTGCCTCTAGAAAAAGGCAGAATCCGTTGAGACCCAAACAGGGACGTGCATCTCGGATCGAACTGGCCAACCCCAAAGGGACCGGAGGAACCCGCAGGAGTCAGTCAATTTGCCCAGCAGCGAGCATCTCCCTTGGCCCCGGATCAGCCCTGCCCTATACTTCTGGGGCAGCCAAATGCTCGGACTCGGCCCTTCCGCCCCATAAACCTGCCTGTTCTCACTCCCCAGATACCTGCCGGACATGGCTCTGTGGAAGCCCCTCCCGGGAGGACAAGCTCCCTGCCCGAGATCCACGGCTCTCCGGGTCGTTAGCCTCCCTCTGCGCCTTCCCGGTGCTTTCCCATGAGCAGCAGCCTGCCGCTCGGAGGGGGCCCGTTATTCCGGCAGGGGCAGAGCAGGCCCAGGGGCACGATTCTCTCCCTGCAGCGCTGCTTCAAGGAGGGAGGTCACCTGGGGAGGGGGCACAGCGGGCAGCCGTGTCTTCACCCCCTGCTGCCACGACCCTCTCCGCCCCCCAGCCCCACCTGCACCTCCAGTCCTTGTCCACCCCCACCTGCACCCCCCTCCTGCCCCTCCCATGACCTCCATCCCCACGCAGGCGACGCCTGCCCCGTGTTTGCAGAAGGACACAAGGAGGGAGACGACACGCACCTTCAGCTTTGCTGTAACTCTCTTGAAGTATCTCTGCAAAAGGACAAAGAGGCCGCGCTCCAGGTCAGGGGTCCTCCACCTCCCCCTGCAGCCCCAACGCCCCCCCCTCGCTCCCCACCACATACTTCTCCAGCCGCTCCCTCCCTCGCTCGAGGGACGGAGGTCCCAAAGCTCCCACATGGAGGCCGGGCACAAGCCCAGAGGCACCCCAGAGAGGGAGTTTCCGCCCCATGGACAGGGACACACAGAATGGGGGCTTCTTTGACTCAGCCACCCAAGAGGGGGGCTCTCCGGGCCAGGAGAGGGGCCTGCTTTATAACAAACTGGCCCTCCTTGCCCCCCCCTCCCCCGTTTCCTGCCCAAGGGCGGCCAGCCCGGCGGTGGAGCTGGCCTGCGACCAGGGAGGCGACACTCACTTCTTGCTTCTTCATAACTCTCTTGAAGACGCTCTGCAAAGAGACAAGCACAGGTACCGCCATCCGAAGCCCGACCACGGGTTCAGGGGCCCCACAAACCCGGGGCGTTTGCCCTGCGTGGGAGCAAACAAGGGAGCAGGGAGGCGACACTCACGTTTTGCGTCTCTGTAGCTGCCTTGAAGTATCTCTGCAAACACACAAACGCAGCACAGCTCCACGTCAGAGATCCTCCGGTCCCACACTCCACGCTCCCCCGGAGACGCCTCTCCGGACGCCCCCCAGGGCAGGTGGCCCCAGCGCTCTGCTCAGAAGCGCAGCGATGGGGCCCCCAGGGAGGCCAGGGCAGCTCCCCAGAGGCAGCGCAAGAGATGAGGATTCCCCTGATCCGACGCCAGCCCCAAATACAGCGGCCCCCTTCGCTTGTGGGGCACCGAGAAGGGGCTGCAGCCGGGGGCAGGCCGGAGGGCAGGAGGAGAGCCGCTGTGCGGTTCTGAGGCAGAGCCGGGGCTCCTGGCCAGAGACCGGAGCAGCAGCCCTGGCGGCTGCAGGACCGGGCCCTCCGCCAATTCCAGCCACATGGGCTGCTACGAGCACCACCTGGGGGCCCCAAGGGAAGGGCTATAGCAGAGCCGGCTCTTCTGTCCAGAAGCTGCCTCAGCAGCAAAGGGTCTTTGGCGCTGCTGGAGCCCCCTGCTCCCGCTGGCGCCCCTCTCTGGAATCACTGCCGGTTGCCTCGCTCCTGCCTCTGCTCCTGGGCTCTGCCCGGCTTCCCCTGCTCCAGCTTCCGCTCCAGTCCCAGGTTTCTGCTTCTCCTCGGCTTGTCCCTCTGGCTTTTGGCTCCTGACTGGCATTGGGTGCTCTGCTCCATTCTGATTGGCCTGCCTTGCCCCTCCGTTGCCCACCTCGACCCCCGGACCGACGGACTACGATTTGGGATGGGCCTGCACATTGGGCCAGTTGCCTGGGTCCTGCTGCCCTGCCCTGACACCCCGCCGCCCATGTCCCGGACGCTGGCAGCCGTCTCCTGCGATTGCTGGCTCTCTGCCCAAGAGCAGGAGCCGCTCAGACCTCCTCCATCAGGGGTGCTCACGCGCACATGAACGATACCCGTGCATGCAAGGATTTCCCCGAGTGCAGAGTGGTTTTTAGACAGCATTTCTTCAAGTGCTCCAACAGAGGTGGGCACACAAACACACCCATTAGTCCTCCAAGGTGCGTCACCGGGCTGAGCCAGAGCCCCTCCTCCGCCTCCCTCCACCCCTCAGCGGATCCTCCCGGGGCCCCATATGCATCCGAGAGGGGCCTGCCCGGCCTTGGAGAGACCCAGCAAAAGGGGGACACACTCACTTGATGCTGGTCCGTAGGCACCACAAAGCGTCTCTGCGGAAACACAAGCACAGCCACAGCTCTGGGTCAGGGGCCGTCCCGTCTCATCCTCTGCAGCCACAAACCTGCCCTGTTGTTGCCCTCCAGACATTTCTCCAGGCTCCTCCTGACAGGAGAACCTCCCCCAGCCCCAAAACGGGCGAGGACGATCCAAAGCAGCTGTGCTGTGACAACACGTCACACGAAATCGGGCCACGGCAGCTTCTTCTGGGTGAAGCGGCCCAACCACCCCAACAACAGAAAATGCACCCTCATCTTACTTACTGAGGGATAACACAGCAAGCACGACTGCCGGGAGCAGCACGAGGACCCCCATGGTGGGCCAGATAAGGTGGTCAAGGATGGACGCTGGAGAGGGGATTGGGGAAGAACAAAGGAGGCCAAGTTTTGAAAGTCTGCTTTATGCGAAGAGTGACTGGAGGAGGACCGGGCAGTCCTTGGAATCTGGAAAGGGGAAAAGAAGTGGGGGTGGCCCGGAAGGGCCCCCTGTCCTTCATTCCTTGTCCAGGGCTGCCTAGGTCCTTCCTGAGTTCTGGCGGGAGGTGAGGGCTCCTTCCTCAAGGGGGAAGCTGGAAGACCAGGATCACACATGCTGAAATTTGCTGGACACATTTGCAAAGAATGCTTCAAGCTTGTGCAGCCGTGGCACCTCAGCTCGGGCAGAGCGGGCCGTCAGCTTCGGCCTGCGGCACAGAGCTCCACCTGAGGGCCCACGAGGCAGGACTTGGTTGCCTCAGGTAGCTAAAGCATTGTTAATACGCACATCAGCGAGCCGTCCCCAGATGATGCCAATCAGGGATCACGGGTGCAGCACAGGGTTTTCACAGTTTGGCCCCGCATCTCCCTCAGGGGAAAATTCACCTCCCAGGATCCCCTGCTCCATG